GCTTTCTTCACCACATTTTCTTGTGCACCCATTGTCTTCAGCGATAATGTCAGGTAGGTGAGCATCTCAGACTAATTGTTAGAACAAAGTGTTCTTGTGCTGAGGGAGCACTTGTGTAGGGGCCCACTGTCCATCTGTTTTCTTAATACTAGAATGATAATCTCACCAAATTTTAAAAGGGTTTTTTTTTTAACAAAAGAACTTTTTCAAAGAAGAAGAAGAAATTAAAAATACCTTTCAGATTAAGAATAATTTGTGGGAAACAAATTTCTGATTGCATCTTTTGTACAAAATGAAACAAATGTCCATCAACAGAAAATAGATCCCAAACTGTGACATATTCATACATATAAACTCTAGGGGGACTTTAAAAAGCTTGTGAGGGGAAAATGGAATTAAAAAAATAATGGAATTTTCTCATGAGCTTTCTGAAACCTCCTCTGTGTATTCTCTCTCTCCCTATATCACACACACACACACAAACACACACACACACAATCCTAGACACCTTTATTACCAAGATCAAAATGTGAAGTTGTTGCTCTTTGACATCTCCATCTAGTTCGATACACATCTGAACAGTCTATTTCTGGAGTATCTTTGGTACTATCTGAAGGTAGTGTTTGCAACTCTCTAGCACTTCCCCACCCCCCAAAATCTGCACTTTTCAGTTTGTGCCAGGTCAAAGTAACAGTTTTAGCATCCCAGAAGGACTCAAATCATGTTCATTATAAATGATCTTTGAGTTCGAGGGAACAAAAAGAAATTTGAAGAGATAAGATCAAGACTGGAGAGTTGATAAAGTAAGGTTTGCCAGAGAAATTCTCTTAGGTCAGGCTTGCTGCCCTTGAAAAATAAGCAGGTGCACTGTCCTGATTGGGGGAAAATCCTCAGCACAACCTTCTTGGGCTTATTCCTCACCAATACAGTTTACAATTTTCTCAAAATATTGTCATAATTATCCTCTAGTTTCATCCTGTGGCCTTTGAAAAAAATATCAAGATTACCCCCTTTAGAATCTTAAAAAGCAATTGCCATAGCCTCTGAGCTGACCTCTATACTTTGAATTTCAAGGGCCCAGAATATACCCTAGGAAATGACTGTTCTAATTTTTCAAGGTACCCTAAGTAATAGAGCCCTAGTGGTATAGTGGATTGAGCATCCAGCTGTTAACCACAAGGTTGGTGGTTCGAACCCACCAGACACTCCATGGGAAAAGATGAGGCTTTCTGCTCCTGTAAAAATGTACAGCATTGGAAATCCTATGGAGCAGTTTTACCCTTCCCTCTATAGCAGTGGTTCTCAACGTTCCTGATGCGGTGACCCTTTAATACAGTTACTCATGTCGTGGTGACCCCACCACCACCACAAAATGATTTTCATTGCTACTTTGTAACTGTTATTTTGCTACTGTTATGAATGAAGCCACCACTGTGAAAGTGTCATTCAAACCCCAAAGGGGTCGTGACCCACAGGTTGACCCACTGCTGGGTCTTTAGGAGTCAGCTGGCCATGGGTTTGAGTTTGTTTTTAACAAGACTAAGAGACTAAGATAAGCGTATTAGTTAGAAAATTTGTCATTCATTGAACACATAAACATGCTTAAACACATTTTGTTTGGAGTAAACTGTGCATATAGATATGAAATAGAACCATAGAAGTAATTCCGTTTGACTTATGTTCATGTATGTGTTTAGATGTATGTAAGTATACATAAATATCTAATAGTATATGATTTTTCAGTGATTAGTACACGTAGAACTTCCTTATTTGCTGTAACAAGGGCCTCCTACTCTGTTTATGATTATATTTATGGTTGTTCATGCACAGTCTATTTCTGGAGTTATCTTTGGTACAAAATGGGTGACTGGGTTTTAGAAACTGGAGGGAAATTTTTCTCAATACTATTTTATATGTTTTTAAAATTCAAACTATGAAACTATTTTACTTAGTTAACAGATTTAAGATCTAAAAATTATAAACAATGTGAAAACAAAAGAACAACAAAAGCTTATGTGGGTTATAACACTATATAAAATTATAAAAACAGTTTAAATAATTTCTATGAATTATAGCTAAAGTTCAAATACACTCAGGGGAAATATGACAATTAAAGAGTCATTGCCAGGAAAAGTAATAAGGATATCGAGGGATTTAAAATAAATTCACATTTCATAATTAATTAATTAAAAATAAAACTATTTCTGAGGGTTTCTTTTGTTTAACTTTTTTAAAATATAGAAAATGTTTAGACTTGGAAATGCTATTTGATAGATACATAGATGTTCTCTTTAAACTGGAAACATGTCATTTTTAAAAAGTAAATAAGGCACTTATTTACTGCCTAGTACTCAATAGCCATCTAACAAATAGTATAACTCAGTTTGCAAATGAACCTTATTATGATTTCTAAGACTTACTCTTCCAACTCCACTTTGTAAGCACTGAGTATTGCATGAATATTCATTTTGAAAGTTGAAGGGAAACACTACCCCTGAATGGAGAAGAAAAAAATATATTTTAGATATCCACAACTTTAATAAATACTACGGTTATCACCTATAAAACGTTAAGTGTCCAGATAGTCTAGGTATTATTTTGAAATATCTTATGATATCTGATTATGCACAGATATTTATTTAGCCCTGTGAAATATCAGCCACTATGTCAGAGGATGTGTGTACAAGCATGAAATGACAGTCCAGAGTTAGAGGATTCAATATATAACCATACACAGTGTAAGGTAAACTTTAGTTTGTAAATGCTTTGCAGCTTCTAGGAGTCGTGTGAAAGGCAACTCCAGGGAGCTGCTCCCTCCCCTGTAGTCACTGTCCACTGTTTAGCTCAGCTCCATGACTTCCATATTTGGGGCAAGCAGGTAGGCTTGTGTCATTTCAAACCACAGAGTTCATTGGGTCAGGATTTGCAACCAGAAGGAGGCCCACTCCACTCCAACCCATGGGGAGTCTTGCTTGCTACAGAAACGCCCACCCCTCTAGATCGGTGGACATCTGGCTTCAGTGCACCCAAGCATGCATGTGGCAAAGTCTCCACTGTGTGTCTGGTCTGCCCTGCTCTGTAGCCTTAGCACAGATTCATGGCCTGATGCTGCAAGTTTTAGTAGCCACCAGTCAGCAACCCAGCAAGAATTTGGCAAGACCATGAAACATATGCAGGTTAATGCTCAGAGTCTGGCCTTTAAAAAAAAATTCTATTTTAATTTTATTTCAATCCATGATGGGGAGAGGGTGGAAGTGGGAGGGATCAAAGACAGCGTTTGTGAGGGAGGTCTCATAACATGAGTCTTTAACTTGTTTTAAAGTGACTTGAGTAGATTTTTTTTTTTAGTATTGTCATAAATACAGAATGTCAGATGAGATACTGGAAAGAGTAGGTATATTATTTTTTTTTGTATTTCCAAAAGTTAGATTATATGTTTCAGGACAAGTATATCCATATTCTCTACCATACTAAAACTGTAACTGCCAATACATAATACTTTTAAGGAACATTCTATCTCTACTTTCTCTAATACAGATTTGTTTGTTCTGACAGTCCATGGCCCATTTGATATTTTGACACCTCCACAATTCTTCTTGTCTTCCTTATTCATTATTCAACTTTCCATACATCTAAGGCAATTGAAAACACCATGGCTTAGTCAGGCACACTTCAGTACTCAAAAGGGAAATCTTTGCTCTTTTAAGACTTTAAATAAATCTTAGGCTGCAGATTTGACTTCTAGACTAATTCTTCCATGAGCCTTGATATGGATCAAAGTCAAATGATATATTTTACAAATTCAATCTTGCCTATTGGTCCAATTGTGAGCAATCTGAAATTCTTAAAATGAGTTTTAATCCATATTGAAGGCTGTAGTCTCTTTTATATATATATATAAATCATTTTATCAGGGGCTCTTCCAGCTCTTATAACAATCGATACATCAATTATATCAAGCACATGTTGCTATCATCATTTTCAAAACATTTTCTGTCTGCTTAAACCCTTGATATCAGCTCCTTTTTTATCTCCCTCTCCCACCCCCATGACCCCTTGATAAATTATAAATTATTATTGTTTTCATATATTACACCGTCCACTGTCTCCCTTCACCCACATTTCTGTTGTTCGACCACCTGAGGGGTGTTATACATCGATCATTGTGACCAGTTCTCCTGTTCTCCCCCCACCCCCCATACACACCGGACCTTCCTCCTAGCCTCATGGTACTGCTACTCCCATTACTAATCCTGGGAGGGTATCTGTCCTTGATTCCATGTGACAAGAGCTCTTATCTGTATCAGTGTACATGCTCTGGTCTAGCTAGGTTTGTAAGTCAAAACTGAGGTCATGATAATGGGGGGTGGGGCATTAAAGAACTAGAGGAATGTTGTGTGTTCTGTCATGCTATGCTGAACCCTGCCTGACTCGTTCCTTCCTTGTGACCCTTCTGTGAGGGAATGTGCAATTGTCTACAGATGGGCTTTGAATCTCCACTCCGATGGCACTCATTCACATCAGTGAAAGCTATAGTCTTTGATCTTCATCAGTAGGTACTTTAAAAACTATTGGTTTTCAGCAAGCAAGGTTTTAAATATCAAAAGTTGTTAAAGAGTTTTATTCTAATCCTGATGTCACATTCTTCTTCAGTCAGGCTTTTCAAATAATTTGCTCAGCATATAATCTGAGAAGTCTGCGTAAGCATAATGAAGGGATATAACCACAACACACACCTTTTCCCGTTTTAAATCACTGCAGTGTTCCTTGTTCTATTCAAATGATCATCTCTTGGTCTAACATACAGGTTATTCATGAGCATAATTCAATGTTTTGAAATTCCCATTCTTCTCAATGTTGTCCATAGTTTATTATTTAAATAGTGGAATGCCTTTGTAAAACACAACTAAGCATCTTTCTGGTATTCTCTGCTTTCAGTCAAGATCCATCTGATATCATAATGATATTCTTCATTCCATGTCCTCTTCTTAACCCAGCTTGAGTTTCTAGCAGCTCTGTTGATACACTGCTGAAATCCTTTTAAAATTATCTTTAGCAAAATTTTACTTGCATGTGATACTGTTTGATAATCTCCACATTCTGGTGGGTCACTTTTCTTTGGAATGGGCACAAATACAGCTTATCTTCACCAAGTAGCTATCTTCCAAATTTCTAGATTAGTCGTGCTCCTAGTGCCACATCAGTTTGCTGAAACATTTCAATTGGTTATCAGTCAATTCCTAGAGTTTTGCTTTCCTTTAATGCCTTCAGTGCAGCTTGAACTTCTTCCTTCAATACCATCTGTTCTTGACCAACTGCTACCTCTGGAAATAGTTAAATGTCAACTATTATTTTTGGTACAGTAACTTCGTGTAGTCCCTCCACTTTTTTTTTTTAATGCTTCCTTCTTCATTCAACATTTTGCCCATTGAATCCTTCAATATTGTGACTAAGCTTGAATGTTTCCTTCAGTTCTTTCAGTTTGAGGTATGCTGAGTATGTTCTTCTCTGTGGTTTTCTAACTCCAGGACTTTGCATATTTAATTATGAATGCTTTACTTTGTCTTCTCAAGCTCCCTTTTGACATTTTCTGTTCAGATCTTTTACTTCACCATTTCTTTCATTTGCTTAAGGTACTCCAGAACACATTTCAGGGTCCCTTCTAATATCTACTGTGGTTCTTTCTTTCCTTTCTTTTTAATATGTTCTTCATATGTTTAATATGTCTTCATGTATATATTTTTTATGTTATTCCACAACTCATCTGTTATTTAGTGATTAGTGTCATTAAGTGCTCAATGTTTCTAATCTGTTTTTGAGATGAGGTTCTCAAGGTATATTTTGTCTCTTGTGGTCTTTTTTGCAATGTACTTTTAAAATTATTAATAAATCATTTTATTGGGGACTCTCACAGCTCTTATAACAATCCATGCATCCATTGTATAAAGCACCTTTATACTCATTGTCTTTTGTTTTAGTATTTTTCAGTTTCAACCTAAACTTACATCTGACTATTCCACAGTCTTGTTTCGGCTGCTATTGACTTCTCTTTTCCCACAGGTGTAGTTAATTTGTTTCACGTGCATTCCATTTGGCCAGGTCCATGTATATAGTTGTTATTGAAAGGTATTTAAAAGGAGGAAGTGTCCTTGGTCTTGCAACATTCTATCAATTGATCTCCACCTATATTTCTATCACCAAGGTCATATTTTTCAACTACTGATCCTCCCTCTTTGATTACAATTTTTGCATTCTAATTGCCAATAGTTATCAGTGTATCTTGGTTGCAGGCTTGACCAATTTTAGACTGGAGAAGTTGATAGAATTCTTTTATTTCTTCATCACTAGAGTTAGTGAAAAGGAGCCCTGGTGATATAGTGGGCTAACCGCAAGGTCTGTGATTCAGTTCAAACCTACCAGTTGTTCCTGAGAAGGAGAAGGCTTTCTTCTCCTACAAGATTTATAGACCTGGAAAGCCACAGGGGCATTTCTAACCTGTCCTAATGAGTCAGAATCAACTTGATGGTAGTGAATTTAGAATTCTGGAGATTTACTGGTTGCATCAAGCTAGATTTCCTTATAGACATATACATTTTATCCTATCACAAACAGCATTGTACTGCAATATGAAGCTATGTTTTTTAAGAGGTAAATTCTCCTTCGAGCTGGGTTGTTCTAATTATAATTCCAAGGTACAATTTGCATTAGAGGTATTACTCTGAGCAATAAGCAGTTAACTATCAAAATAAGGCATAAGATAATATATAAAGCTACTGTCAGTGAAGGACTATTATCTTCCTACCTTTGCTAGTCTGAAAGACTCTTGGCTAGAGATTATGAAAAACCTTTCATTTAGTAAAATTCTTCAGCTAAAATCACCAATTGTCATTATTTCTTTAAATAAATAATTTAATTTATATTGAATATTTTATTTAAATAAATAATTTAATTTCTTTAATTTAAATAAATAATTACTTTATGAATTACTTTGCCTTTCAAATATCAGTTAAGAAGTCAAACCAGTTGCTGTTGAGTCCATTCCAACTCAGGGTGATACCACGTTTGTCAGAGAACTGTGCTTTATAGGGCCAATGTCCGACTGTCACAAGTAGTTCAAAATACTAATTATCCACAAATAGATACTACAAAGAACATGTACTCTGTATTACTTACCAGACGGAGAAGTCAGATGACGAACAGGTCTTGCTGGTTGAAGCGGTTTACCAATCAGTTTTTTTGTTTCCATTATGACAAAGATCTTGAGGTTCCATACTGTAGGAGAAAAAAAATGTCTATTTTAGTTTTTCCAACAAAAAAATTAAAACCCTTTACAAACATAAAAATACCCATAACACTCATTTGTATATACGTAGTTGATCCTGTAGGTTAGGCAATGATCTGCTAACCACAAGATCAGCGGTTCAAATTTCACCAGATGCTATAAAGGAGATAGTTTATCTAACTATCTGCTCCCATAAAGGAGAACAGTCTTGGAAATTCTACATAAGATCACTGAGTCCGAATTGACTTGATGGTAGTGAATTTGATTTGGGTTTGATATTTTGTAAAGTAAGGTAGAAATCACAAAAGAAGCATTTAAAATAATATGCAATAACCTTACCCAAGAAAACATTATGAGTCAATTCCAACTCATAATGACCCTATAAGGCAGACAACTGCCCCATAAGGTGTCTAAGGCTATAAACCTTTACAGAAGCAGACTGCGGTATCTTTCTCCTGAGGATTAGCTGGTGGATTCAAGGAAATAAATGACTTTTTGGTTAGCAGAATACATGAACACCACCACCAGGGATCCTAGCAATAACCTTAGCTCTGGTGGTGTAGTAGTGATTAGGCATTGGTCTGAAATCCGCATGTTTGGCAGTGTTCATTTTCTTAATTTATCCTTCCTAGAATACAAACTAAAATTTGAGATTGTTTCCCTTGTTCTATTGTCATACTAATCACTGATGACTATGCATTAAACATACTTAAATACTGTTTTTAAAAAGAGGTAATCATTTAAAAATAAAAGAAACAGGTAATCTCCTACCTAAATTTTAGACTTCAGTAAGTGCTGGTGGTTGTGCTAAGTAATGACGGTCAAAATACAGCAAAACCCGTGAACCCCAAAACTAGCAGGACTGCTTTGTTCTGCAGATCAAGAATGGTTTGCATCTTTGACATAATACAATCTTACCACTCTCCTATTGCTATTAGTGGGAAATACTGATTTCTTTCTCAGACAAGTTTCCACTTAACAGATTCCAGATTTTCAAGGTTTTACTGTATCATGAAAGACAGCTGAGTGGTGAAATGGAAAGACCATAATTCCATATAACGTGTATATTTCCCATAGAACTAGATCAAACTATTTCCAACTTCAAACAAGTAACTCTTGCAAGGTTGATTTTCCTTCAAAGGAATTACAGCTTACCTGTAAGTAAACAGTAAGTAACCAACCTTCTGCTGTCTCTACTCATAAACCAACCCTACAGGACTGAGTAGGGTTTACAAGAATGTAAAGTTAAGAGTTTCCAAGACTGTAAATCTTTACAGGAAACAGAAAGGCTCATCTTTCTGTAGCAGAGCAACAGCCAAAATCGCCGTTAGCAGCCCAGCGCTTAACCCATTGCACACGCAGGGCTCCTCAAACAAGCTTTCTCCCGTGGAGCAGCAGGGAGTTTCGAACTGCTGACCATGCGGTTACTAACCGGATGGATGAAAAGTAACATAAAGGCGATACAGGGGAGAAAGAGAGTAAACAATTCTGACTCCGAGGATGAAAGACCGTTTACAGTTCACAAATCTGGCTGCACCCTTCGGGGCAAACACACAAAAAT